CACGGGAGGGCTACTTTCCATAAGCTATGCTTCAGCCCTCCCACTTCTACTAATTTTGTTCATCTTTGTGTGGATGAATTATACTGTTTTTGTTTTTTGGATGAATAAAAAAAAAAAAAATTACTTTCAGCTTGGGGGCCCCCTAGTGGCCGCGGGGGCCCTATGCATCTGCATAGTCCGCCTATAGCAGTGTTTCTCAAACTTTTTCATACCAAGGACCACTTAACCAATAAAAAAACACTCGCGGACCACCTAACTCCACAAATATCCAAAAACACATCGTTTTTTACATATCGCCTGAAAATGGTACAAACAAGTGGCCACATGTGTGATGAAGGTGTTTATCTGGGTTATATCATGCAATCGAAAGTGAAACTTAAGCTCGCTCCATTGCGGAGATATTCCCGCGAGAGTGCGGAAAACTTACATTTATTTATTTATTTCAAATGTGAAATTTTACCAATATACTCACGGACCACTAGGGGGCGCTCACGGACCACCAGTGGTCCGCGGACCACACTTTGAGAAGCACTGGCCTATAGGAAGAAACGGCCCTGAATGTAGCATTCAAACACTTGTTCTGTTACCAGCTGTATTCACCTTGCAGGTGCAGCTCTGTGGCTTTGATCCTGGATCAAGTGTTTAAGTCATGGATGTTTAAAGTTTAACTTCTTCATATGTCTAATATTATAGTTGACTTTTCATTCAGGAAGTATGACGCTGCGCTGTCAGTACGCTTCTCCATGTTTGTGATTGGTCGAATGCTCCAGATACCACCCCTTTCATGTGAACGCGCACCTAACTAGATAGGACACGGCTGGCTTGAGCGATCCACTTGATAACCAGCGTCGTAGTACAGTTTAGCGAGAGCGCGTATGTTTTGGATTAGGCCAACCGGCTAACTCAAACATATCCAGGTTAGGTTGAACCAGCTTCGTAGTACAGGCCTCTGGTGTTGTCCATTTCCCATTATTGATGATGAGCAAATAACAGTATTTCACTCATTTCACTGCTTAACACCTTTGTTATTGTTATCAAACCAAATAGTCTTCCAAGACTGGCAGTAGCCAATAGGACTGGGACACCGTGTGATCTCTATCTATTCATGTTAAACATTGCAACATTATGGAATACTGCCAAGACAAGCAATCTGACTAAATGTAAGGACTGATTCAATACTTGGGTTAAATCATAATTATTGGACACCTTAAAATAAACTGTGACTTCATCAATCCAAGTGATGATATACTAGTAATAATAAGGAGAAGGTTAATAAAAAGTTTGACTAACTATGTCAAAATTACAAAACAATATAAGGTAGTATGCAACCAATAGCCACTTCGATATTGGACATGTAGTGAAATGAGAGTTATATAAGAGTTTAAAATATTATTGGCAAACATAATCTTTTGTTACATAACATAAATACATATTTTTGGCAGGACATTTTAAAGATGAAAACAACTTCTCAATGTTTAGGCTGACATATGCTATGTTAAGTCATTATTGTCCGAAATTGAGTCAAAGTCCCTCTGTCCTCAACATCATTAGATAATAAGATACATTAATAAAAAAGTATTATATTCCTATAAAAATGATTATTATGATGATATCAATTATGAAGTGGTCAGTAAGAATTGCTACTTTGTATAAAAGTAATCATAGTATCACAATATTCACAAAATGTTGCTATGGCTAACTGTCATATTTATCCAAGTATCTCTATTTATCAAAATGATCAGTGTGTGCACAGATGGAAGGCTGACAGGCAGGTAGGCCATCCAAAATGATTGGTCGTGCTTTTTACAGCACCACGGCTTCCATAGATGAAATGTGTTTATGGATTTATTGTCAAAGCATTTAATATATTCATTGCTATCGGGATGTTAAGAGCATTCCATGGAATATAACAACAAGTGTATCTGAAGTGAATTACATACCCCACCTTTAAGATATAAAACATTTGTGGTATAAGACACTTGGATGCTCTCTCAGAGACACGAAGAATTGCTAATATTGAAGGGTTATCCCCGCCACCGTGTCCACTGGAGTATGAGAAAAATAAAGACCACTGCTACTGGAACAGTAGAGCCAGCAAATACAAATATAAATTAAAAAGGGCCCTTTTATGTTCATTTTCAGGTTACTATACCTAAGTAAGTCATAGATTTGACTTATCAAGAGTACGTATGTCATTACTAACATCTACCTACCCTAACAAAGCTCATCAAGGACCCTCACCTCAAAGATCACTCCAGACCTCGTTTAAAAAATACACAATTTCAATATCATAGACTATCTTGCTTCCCTTTCCATTGTGTGTGTAATATAATGTACTATTGTAGGCCATGGGGCAGAGCATAGCAGAGAAAAAGCATAGAACAAGTGTGTCAATCCTGTGGATCACAACCCTATGACGGGATCTAGCAGCGACATGTTGATACTGGTCGTGTGTGTGAAACTTCTTGGCTAGTACAGAACAGAGTCACAGGAAGTGAGGCAAATATACAAGCCAGGGCTGGAGGATTGGAAACACATGCGGACTGCATCATGAGTAATAATAATGGAATTAAAAGAACTACAGTGCCAAAACTGAAGCAGTCAGGCCAACAGCTAATACACTAACAACATATGGTTGTTCTTCAGGACTCTGGTCTACATTGGGTGTGGATATCATCAAGTGTTTGATCTGACTGTGAGCATGACCAAAATGACAAAGCAAGGGTTAGGGTCAGGCCTTTTTTTAATCAGCGTTAGGTTGAACCTCAATATCTTTTTTGGTAACCAACTAAATATAGTATGAATGAACAACAGTCTAGTATTAAAAGGTGCCACTGAATATGATCTTCTTGTTGCTCACACAATTTCAAAATAAAACTAAAATGTCTCAAACAATGTCACAGTTTTTGCCTGGATGGGTAATACATTTAGTTAGCCCCAGGCACCCCTAACAGATTTGATCCGACACCGTGTTTTTGGTTTTGTCAACAGTCTTAACTCTTAAGATGTTCATTTTATACTTATATAAATATACAAAAATAAACATTCTCACAAGCTAAGAATATGTTGCCATTTTTGCTGGTTAAATAACTTTAATTAATTTTCTAAATATTTGTGACAGACAAACAACACTGACTGACCAATGTGTGAGTTATATAAAAAGACACATTGGTGATGTCTCTACCAACAGGGCAAAGCTAGAAAATAGCCCCAGGGACCCAAAAAGCTAACATCTCAAGGGTTAGTTGGACTTGATTTGAATTGCAATTCAAGATTTGTGTTATAGTTGAACTATCAAAACAATTAAATAAATACAAATGATGAAAACTGGGTGAGAATAATGCTCCATAGCAGTGAAATACAGTACGTCTTCAGGGAAATAGCTCGGTCTGTGGGGACTTGGGCATGGGTAAGTCCCGATAGGACCAACAAAAGCAGTGTGATACTGATAGCTGGAGGAGCCAGTCCTTGAGCAAGGCACTGAACCCCCACCCACAAAAAAAAACTGCTCCTTGGCACTGGGAAAAATGTACATCTCTCCATAAAAATGCATGTTTGTGCATATCTGTATTTAGACCTAATGTGTGCATATTTGAGTATACAATAACAGAGTGAAAAACTGAGTTTCCCCTGGGGGGTAAGCAAAGGCTCTTCTTCTTCTTCTTCTTCTTCTTCTTCTTCTTCTTCAGTACGGGGGAGGAATATGAACCCCAGCCCCCCACCCCAACCAGTTATTCTGGGAATGGTGACTAGTCAGAAACATTGGATCAGTTGTGGGATGGCACTGAAGGGGAGGTTTACATGCTCTCATTGTTCTAAGACGGGGTGGATGACCACATCCTTTCCCCACCTGACACTAGATTTAAAAAAACACTTTTTCCTACAAGCAGTGGGGGAAAGTAACTAAGTACATTTACTCAAGTACTGCACTATTTTGTCAAACTTGTACTTTATTTCCATTTTAGCTTCTTTATACTTCTACTCCACTACATTTTGGAAGCATTTATTCTACTTCTTAGTGCCCTACTTTTATTTAACCAGTAGTTACCAGCGACTGTTTACATATGAAAACACATGACATCTTTATATGATATAATGCAGTACACTACTACCAATATACTAAACAAAATATTAAATTGTCTTAATATTAACAAACGACAAAATGTAACTGCTCTTACATGTATTTATAAGCAATTAAAATAAAGAATAATTTAATATTCCATAATAATATAATACTTTCAACAGCCATGGTACATAATAATTTACTTTGGATACTTTAAGTACAATTAGCTGGTAATACTTCTACACTTCTACATCTTGAATTCAGGACTTTCACTTGTAATGAAGTATTTTCAGACCAAAGTATTTCTACTTTACTGAAGTAAAGCATTTCTCCCACCACTGTATTCAGCATGAAGGGCTGCCATAGTCAGGATCCTTCCTACATGGCAACAACTAAATATACTCAGTATTTATTTATTTAAAAAACAGATGCGGAAGTAATGGGGCGTGCCATCTGAAGGTGTGTCACCATATTTAGATGATAATAAAGCACCAGGCTAAAACCTTATTTAAAAAAACCTTCTTAGCACATTGTGTGGCAAAAGCCACCGCTTGTCTGGCATTGTTATATTAAACCATGCAGGGCACGCAGTCCACACGTGAACAGCCCTTAAAAAACGTGTTTTTTTATGAAAAGCTTAAACTTGTATGGATGTTTGCTTCCGCCCCTGAGTGTAAACAGTGGCGGGTGGGTAATAATGATGGAATAACAAGAAAAACTGAAAAAAACATGCAGATTTGTACTTTTGAAAACTGATGAACTGGGTATATATCCTTCAAATGCCTTGTTGTTCTGTGGCGTATATTACTTGGAAATTGTACTATTTTGCCAGTAGCCTATGGCATCACTTTCTCTCCCCATAAACGGCATGCCAAGGGTTTCCTTTTGTTATAAAACGCAACACATATTAACTATTCAAGCTAGAAGTGTTACTTACCATTTCTTTGTGCATTCTATCGTCAGCTCTTGAAATGAAGCAGCAAACTGGAACTTGGATGCTCTCTTTCCGACCCGCTGAAGCCGCTTCCACACCGAAGTCATGGTGAGGATTGTCAAATTACCTCTCAAAGACACGAAGAACTACTAATATTTCACGGTTTATCGTCGCCACCGTGTCCCTCCGCCGGGACCTGAACGGGGGTACCAGAGAGAGAAAGTCCACCTGCTCCGCTGACAGCTCCTCCGCAGCGGTGTGTGCCCGCTCCTCACCGGCTCCGCTGCACAGGCTACAAAACAAACACACCCACCGTCCAGCTAGCATCAAGCTAAACAAGATGAAGCGGAAATTACAGGTTTATGACTTTCAAAATAAAGGGCCTGTTGAATGCAGGTCGTCGGAGCTGCGCTATTATTTATGACGCAGCAAAAAAATCTGGATTTGTTTTTATGTCCAAACACAAAGATGGTGTTTCAAAGGTTTCCCCACACTGCCAAAAATACAATTCCAAGAAATAAAAGCCTTTATTAAGCCTTGTATACTGTTAATGTTAAATATCAATGTACTTAACATACTAGGCTATTGCATATTTTCAATTTCTTTTAAAAGGTTAATAGAAAACAAATCATCTTCACTGAGATGGAAAATTAAACCCGATCTGCTTCCACAGTCACTGGCTGTCCACTTTTCAACGTTGAGTTTTTATATACCAGACCTCAACTAGGGCTAGTTTAACATAAAGATCTTATGAGATACAGTAAAACTATATTATTTAAAAAACTTGATTCTGAGTATAGAGTTCCTTTTTTAAATTGTGGAATGTATTCTCCCCCCAGGGCAATACAATATTTATATTTCAATGTCCTCGATCTAATCAACTACACATGACCAGCGAAAAGTCAAATGCTCCTTTTTTATAATATCATTATTATATATTTTGTTCTTATTTGCAAAGAGCAGTACATTTGAAAAGACTCTAATCAGCCAATGTGTGCAAGCACTTTATCTCTGTAGAAAATAAAACTGATGTAGGAAAACCTTTAACTCGAGTTTGTTTATTATTTGATTTGATTTAATCTAATTTAAAATGGCATTCTTGTCACCCCATACTTCCTGTTACGCTAGTGTTAATCATTGCTGACTTGACAGAGCCAAGATGGTTATTGGGCAATTAATTCCCTAAACTTTACAAGTCACACTACTATGACCTTATTCTGCAGCATTATCTGATAACAACAATGGAATGGTGGTAATACAAACAATAATGACAGTCATTATAAAAGGATACAACAGACTCCAGCAGATGACTTAAAAAGCGCACTGTAACGTGTAACTGATGCAGGACTCTATGAAGAGCCAAACAATGATTAGTGGGTTCCCAAGAAGCTGTGTTGAAGGGTATTATCAAGGCCTGACTGCAAAACACAAATTACATGCGTTAGTCAGTGTGTCAGGGAAAGTTTCCCTGTGTCATCATGAGTCCACCTCAGATGGGGGGACTTTTCCAGTTTAGCCCCGGGTCTAAATATAATCTGTCGCTTCTGACACATAGAGCAGCTGGGAATATAATGTCACACAAACACACAACAGAAATACACACCCTGTTCACACCCAGAATGAAACACATTTTAATCTCATATCAAGCATTGAAGTTATTTCGTCCAGCATATTTATTATGTATCTATAAATACAAGTGTATTTAAAGGATTAGAGGACTTCCTCTCATGCAAATGATGTATACTTCTTGGCATACTCTGACCCTGTTGCTGCTATAAAAGAATTTCCTCGCAGGGATAAATAAAGTTCAATTTGATCTTATCTTAAAGAAAATGCTTGATTTAAGTTTCAAAATGTCACATTAGACATTTAAACCATTGGATACAACATTATAGATTGGCACCATTTTTAAATCTTTAATTACTCACCTTAATACCTAGGACACTGGTCACTTCTACAATAAGAGCCATTTTTGTTATTTCTAGTACACACGTGTAATCAGTTTCAGTACATTCATGTCATTGCAGAATTGTATTTCACAGGTTGTTGTTTTAATATGTTAAGCTACTGCATATAAAGCTGGCAGGTGATCATTTTCTATTTTGAAGGATAAGTGTTTCTGCTGACGCAGTATTTTTGGGTCTAGGAACTGGGTCAGTCTCTGTGTTTATATCCAATTCCAAACATTCAATACAATAAAGGGAGGAATGTGTACGTTAGTCTTTGTAATCATGCATCACAGAAATATGACTTTTGTTTTGGAGTTGCATAAGGAAGCTGTCTGGGTCCCCTACTTTGCTCTCTATACATGGTGATAGTATCACATAATACAATCATCATTCATTTCCATAGCCACAAGACACACCTTGTCTGGGGTCTACAAGAAATGAATGAATGAATGATGTTGAATTATGGCTCCTTTTAATCAAATAAACTCATCAAAGAAATAGTGTTCCTTGTCCAATGTCAATGAACGCTTTGTGTGTCATCAAAAGAATGTTGAACTGAATTTGAAAAAAGAGTCATATCTAGACTGTTACCCTAAATGAAGTTAGAGCCTGGGGTCTTGCTGCATTCTCCCCTGTCTGAGGGAGGGTTGGGGGAAGCGGGATTGGTCAAAGTTTGGAAATACTTCTGAACAAGAATTCAATGACATATTGCCAACTAGCTTGTTGGAATCAGTTCTTTTCAAAACATGTTGTGTTCACCCCCAGGCTAAATTCATTTTGGCAAATGTAAGCACACCCATCACACTCTGACGCGGGGCAAATCAAGCTGAGATTGCCCAGACAGGATGGCTGTCCTCCACTTAAATTCTAGAGTGGTTTATTTACAGTCAGAACGCAATCGACCTCCATGTTTTAATTCGAAACAAGTTGCTTGTCCATTGCCTGTAAATTAGTCATCTGTGTAAATGTGTATTTCGCAAATACATCCGGCTGCATGATATTTCATCCTATGTCCGAATTGTTTTAATCCTGCAGTATGTGTGCATGAAAGATTTGGTATGTGTGAGGTTATGGTAACGTCGATGTTGCAATAAACCAAAAACATTGCAGTTTAGGTTGATAAAAAGGTTAATAAAAAAGTGATCCTTAATTGCAGGCCTCTGGCGATCTGCATGAAATATTTACACATTAGACAGAATCATCCAATATTTTCATTACGTAATCCTTAGGAATGCTGGGCAGAGCACACGCCAAAGGTAGCAAACACATAGTAAATCAAATCGGGCTAAGTATTGAGCCTTGTGGAACCCCACATGAGATAAGGAAGAAGATAGAACAGCATGTTCTGTGTTCTATCATAGTACTGATTCCATAGGTGGACAAGATTGGACCATATTGGTTATAAAGACGTTCTTTCACATGGTTTGATTCCAGTACATGCTGTCCTGTCCCAGTATCCATCTGTTGCTAAGTGATTTATCTGGCTCCTGCGCTAGCCATTGGTGTTTTCCGTTATGTGACTGAATCTCCCAGTCAGACTGTCCTTCCTCCTTGTCTCTCAGCAGTTTACTGTACAGACATGCTGGGAAACAGCTGCATTTGGGCGAGTAAAAATAAAGCAAGAAAGAAGGAAGAGCAGAGGGGAGTCTCCTCATGTGGGAATAGCAGTTTTTTTAAACTTGGCGTTCTGCCAAAGCTCCGTCATGGGGAGGTTATGGTTGTCTGAGAAACTATTCTGGGAATTGCATTTCCTGTATCCTGTGTTTCAGTGACAGGTTTAATTTGGTAATGAATGTATTGTGTCACATTAAACAGCAGTTGGCCCTCCATATAGAAACTGTAAGTGCTTAAAGAATGTTAACTTTGAAAGGACTACAAAACAGCCCTGTTTTTTAGTTTGATTAATTAAAAAAGATCAGTTCAGGGTTCATGAGTGGTGGAGGGGGCCATGGTGGCAACTATTAAGTGTAGTCATTCCGAAACAATCCATTTCCTGTCTGTAGGCAAACCACGAGTTGGTGTTCATCCTGTTTTGGAGTCCAGGGCATTGCAATGAAATTGAGTGTACACTTTGACCAATGTATTACAATGCCAATATTGACTTTTGGTTTTCTTTTAAGATTAAGATTAAGATGGACTTTTATTAATCCCTCGTGGGGAAATTGTTTCTCTGCATTTGACCCATCCTAGTGTTAGGAGCAGTGTGCTGCCATTTTGAACGGCGCCCGGGGAGCAGTGTGGGGAACGGTGCCTTGGACACCTCGGTAGCACTTGGTCTTGCCGGGACTTGAACTGGTGACCTTCCAGTTGCCAAGCCAAGTCCCTATCGACTTCGCCACCACCGCCACCACACAAGCTCAATGAAACACTTAAAAAAATAACGAGCTTACATTATTCATTTCTAGGTATGAGTGAATACGTACGTGAGAGATCCCAATGGTGGAGTAATCAGATCCCTGCTTGTATCATGCCCCACAGATCCATCTATGACCTTTGTAAAAATAGCCTTGCTAAGCCAAACACCTGTGCGCTGTCTGTCAGAAGCACAGAGAGGGCGACAGGCAGCAAAAGCATGCACCCCACTTATAATAAGGTCACTGAATAGTGTGGTGTCCCTGCAACCGTGATGCAACCATACAGTCACATGTATGACCTTTGAGCAGACTTCTACACACCATGATACTACGTATATCATATGTCGTTAAACCACATTATATATTTTAATGATTTTCTTTTCATATACCGTGGTCCTGGAATAGAATATTGTTCTAGGTTATACTTCCTTGTGGTGATAAAGTATTTGTGGTGATACCGTATGAATGTTTTGGGTAGTTATTACAACATGTTATAATGGTTACTATGCTGTTTCTATGGGGTTCAGGACAGTTTATAAAATGGTACTGAATGGTTGCTAAGTTTAATGTTCATTTATTGTTAATGTACAGTTTTTTCTACAATTTAAATGTAATTCTGAAAATGTTTTGTCTTACCATAGAACACTGTTGAAGCTTTTAGGTGTCTGGAAAAATGCAGTTGCTAGCAAGTGGCTAAATGACAAGGCTAAACAGTTAACACTGGTTTGCCTTTAACTAACTGGTGGTGATGTGAGCTATGCAACAGTGAAGTACAGTATAGTTTATTGTTAATAGCTTAACATTAGCTTTTTACATTTGAATTACGGCTCAATAATCATAAAAGTGTGGTACATTTCTGAAGATATTTTTAATTGAAACTAAATATTTAAGTATCATTAACATTTGTATGCCACAGACTTGTGTGCTATGATTAAACATCCAATGGAAAAATCCCATTGGCTTTTGTGCCAAGGGAACCAGTGCAATGTTAACTTCCAAGTTTGG